CAACAGCTCCGACCCGCGGTAACTCAGCGCTAGCCCTGATCTTTCGAACACGTTTTAGCATATGAGGCTTTTGCCCCGTCTCCAGACAGTTTGTCTATCGTCAGTGTCTAACATATGGACCGTAATCCACAGAAAGCCGTGACTAAATATTGTACATCAACACTTTACTGCCACCTCCCTGAGGCAAGCTTATAACAAAAAAAAAACACGATATACTTAAAATATCTTCTGAAGGTTTATTGAGTATAGACTAAGATCCGATAGTAACTAGAAGTTATGTACATTCGATGTATACACAAGCCGATTAGATTGACCATTTCTCTCGTGAATTTCTCATATAGTGACGCAAGAAACAGTATTAACTGTCTGAATATCAGTTACACTGCACTATCGCATGCACAAAATTGGTCCCCAGCGTTCCGTAGTGCAGGATATCGGCGCATAGGACTTTCGGCCGTTACAGTATCGTTCCACCGAAGCCAACCGCGTTGTACCACTATAGCGGTCACTTCTTGGTATTGTGTTTCTCGTATTTTTACATGCTTCATAACCTCAAAGATCAAGAGGAACAGCATCGTCTGTTATTATCATTTAAGGACATAGTTTCTTCTTTGAAAAATACTGCAAGTCAGAACGATGTTAATCCATTTATTTTGTAGTGTCTTACATGAAAGCGGGTCAGACAAAAACAGCCCTCGTGCCATCTCGAGATGTATCTCAAGTATTACAAAAATTAGACTAAGAATTCGGCACAACACAATAAAAACATCTTTTTACCTTTATACGAACGCCGCTTTACTTTGACATAAATAGACATTTTAGGACTACGGTCACGGAATACGTATTATAAAAGGTGACGCGTGAAATGAACGAATTATGTATACAATCAGCTGTACTTTTTTTCAGGTTCTCTCGCTTTACTATTAACGTTATTATCATAACGTCTCATTTATTAGCACGACTTCGTAGCCTTCATATATTTACACGTTGAAATCGTTCAGTGGCTGAGGCCTTTTCGGCACTGCGCGCGGAACTCTTTCTAGCTAAACAAACGCATCTGAACAATATCTTTACTGCGCTTCTGTTTACAATCTGCACACAACAATGTTACCTATGCACTAAAGTCAATTTCTTTTAACTATAACTTCTATTGGCTAATTCACGGCTACATCTGGCCATTTTCACTATATCATTCTGTCTATATATACTCACATCGTAATTGTAAGATCATCGTCACGGGCGGGATGGTATATAATTTGTGTGTATGTAATAATAATAGTTGTTATTATCGTTTATTTTGATTGTGTTGACACTCGACTCTCTTCGTGATACACATTTTAAAATTTCGCTGCAACGCGTCTCCGTCAAAACACTGACGGAAAATGATTGATGTAGTCGCCGGCGCTAGCTGCTGCTGCTGCTGCTGCTGCATCCGTCGCAGATAGCCCCGGTCCCACCGTTGGCGTGGCGGGCAAATAGTAGTCACCATAATACGTGGGCGGAGTTGCCGGATAGGCGGCGCTGGTGTTCGTCTGGTACGGTGGCAGGAATGGGTTATGATGGCTATGACTTTCAACGGACGACATCACTGAAGCGCTGAACACTTCGGCTGTCATCGAGCGACAGTGGTTCGACATGGGGTAGACAGCGGCAGCTGCTGCGGCAGCTGTGGCTGCTGTCGACGGGTAAACTGGAGCAGCTGCTGAAGTCGTAGCGGACTCGACTAGTCGGCTAGTCGGACTATGAGCGGGATTGAGAAGGGCAGTGGTTTCGCTCGCGATCGTCGGTGTCGCATGATGATGGTGGCCAGAACCGGCAGTGGTCGCGAACGGCGCTGGAATCATACTCGAAGGGTTGACGGCACCGCCACCAATTGTGTTGCCCGTTCCAGTAGCTCCGGTGGACGAGGCGCTGTTCGTCAACGTGGTCGAACTGTTATTGCCGATAGTGTTTGTGCCCGGCATCGACGCGAAATCGAATGGGCCGGTGACGATTGGCGGGATCGGTGGAGATGTAGGAGGTGATCGCGACACGGAGCTATCCTCTCGACACATCGCTGGCGAGCTGCTGCTGCTTGGGGAGGCGAAATGGGTCGACATTGACGAGGCGTAATCATACAGTTTTACGTCACCTCCAAGACTACCAAGCCCACTCGTAGTGAGGGTCACTGGGAGTCCGCCCGTTGCAAGATTGCCTCCAGCGCCAGTCAGCTGTTGGGCTGTCGGGTGATACGCCGGTTCTCTGTGAGACGCAGGGGGCACAAAAGCGGTGATTGGTATGGATTGATAAGCAGGCTGTTGTTCTGTACCACCTCCGTTATTGCCTTTGCCACCGGGGGCGTCGTCGTCTTTGCGAACGCGTCGCCTCGGCTGATACTTGTAGTCGGGGTATTCCTTCTTATGAAGCACGCGTAACCTGTCGGCCTCCTCGATAAAAGGACGTTTCTCTTCCTGCGATAATTGCCTGGATGATACGCGAGAACGAATTCCAATCTGTTAGATTCGGATTTATGAAGAAATATGCACTCAAAACATAGCCTAGCTTAATATTATGTAGGACAACCATAGTGCACACGGTCCCAGTGAATTGTACTATCGAATAAACTTTGTAAGGATTGCGAATCTTGAATTTTGCACTGCTAAAGATTACGACGTGGAAATGCGTTATCCGTACCAAACGACAAGGCGAGCACTGCCATTTGAGATTGCGATCAGGTATCGCCTCAACGTCACATTGTTCAACTTTAAACTGTGTATCGCATCCTACAAACATGGCAGCCGAAAGGAAGGTTATGAAAAATCAGATCACCAACGATAATTCATCTCCATTTCGAACAAAAGGAACGACAGCTTGGCGAATACATTCAATTGTGGTCCACGTTGGTCCTACATATTCATTCGTACATATACGTACGGATTGGTCGATTGTAAGGTTCTTACTAAGGGATTGTCAGTCCGACACTTGAATGTCATCGCCTCTTCTGCGCGATGCCCGTTGATGCCCGCGTGCCGCTGACGGCATCCACGGGAACAAGCTCACGACGTCACGATCGGAGCAAGACGTCACTAGAGAACCTCACATAGTGCAACAGTATTCAGCTGTGTATCAGTCGCGCGGTTCTGGGTGTACACGCAGCCTGTATGGGTGAAGCCCGAGTGTTTGTTTTCCTTGTCACCGTATGATTGTATCTGTATGTGCGAGTGAATCGATTCTCAGCCACCGCCACCAGCCAATCGCTCAGAAAGCATCTAAAAAATGCAGCGTTTTAAACACAGTGACGACGACGTGTTATAAAATTTTGGGATTGATCTTTTTGTGACTCTTAAGGATTGAAGATCTGTGCTGCAGTCATGACGAGGTGCAAACGGACATCGAGTAAGGAGAAACGGTGCAGAAACAGAAAGCGAAGCGAGCGACAATAGGCAAAAAATAAGAGGGCAGAATGGCAATTTGCTAAAATTAGGCGTGACATCGGCCCTCTCTTTGTTGAGAAAAACGAGCTATCCAGTTACGGACAATTGGCACCCACAAGTGAAAGGGCAGATTCAGCAGTTTAGTGCTATTCGCTGTCTGGTCTATACTCAATTCAAAGTCGATTTGCGCCCCCCCCTTGTTGTCGCGCTGCTGATGAAATGCTTACTCCAAAAGACATACGGATAGTCATCCATGAGTGTGGATGTCATCGTCGTACGGCGAGACAGTAATGCGGCTTCTCATCGTGGCGCAAAGTGAACCAGATCTTCATCACGAACACGACATGTAGGTGATTTTAGCACCTAGTAGATTCCACCGCCCCCACCTGGGCAAGCGAGTGCCCCACTAACGTAATGGAGAAAGCTTCACACCTCTACCCACAGCGACATGAAGAGGCAAAAGAGAAAATGCTACGAAGGCTAAAATAGCTAATACAGTCGATCGCATCATCTTCAGATCTCAGAGCTATAACAGCGCTGGAGCTGGTCGAGTGTATTTTGCAGACAAATTTTACTGCTACTTAAAATGTGCCGGTTTGCAATTGGCATTGTGGTTTTCTTTCAGCGTCATGATTTTGTGGCCTGTTATTCCTCTAACATTATTTCTAATTTAATGATGTTATCTTATTATACCCATAAATCCGGTGCGCTCAATTATTACCGATAGCAGTTGCCGGAAAACGTTATTTCGCTGTGTTGACAACATAAACTCATTTATTAGGATGGTTTGCACTTTTGTTTATTTAGTTTTTCTTGCTGGTTACATTGTCGTTCCAGATAAGTGGCTAAACTAGGTATTGCTGAGCCGGTCACGGCTGAATCAACAGTTTGTTGAAACGGAAACCCCGGAAAGGGGGAGAAGTGAGGGCCCCCCCCCCCCCATTTGAACGCAATGACCTCAGCACGTAGCTCAGGTGGAAAAGCGTTCGTAAAAAAAACGTCAAAGCGAATCCTAATACCCAAAGCCTTTCACACCAACGCTCATCGACCATTAAAATTGGCACCTGTTCATGGGGCACCAAGACCCATCTAGACACAAAAAAAGCCTACATAGAAACATTTAGACAACCTCGTCAGTAGCAGTAAAATTTGTCTGCAAAATACACTCGACCAGCTCCAGCGCTGTTATAGCTCTGAGATCTGAAGATGATGCGATCGACTGTATTAGCTATTTTAGCCTTCGTAGCATTTTCTCTTTTGCCTCTTCATGTCGCTGTGGGTAGAGGTGTGAAGCTTTCTCCATTACGTTAGTGGGGCACTCGCTTGCCCAGGTGGGGGCGGTGGAATCTACTAGGTGCTAAAATCACCTACATGTCGTGTTCGTGATGAAGATCTGGTTCACTTTGCGCCACGATGAGAAGCCGCATTACTGTCTCGCCGTACGACGATGACATCCACACTCATGGATGACTATCCGTATGTCTTTTGGAGTAAGCATTTCATCAGCAGCGCGACAACAAGGGGGGGGCGCAAATCGACTTTGAATTGAGTATAGACCAGACAGCGAATAGCACTAAACTGCTGAATCTGCCCTTTCACTTGTGGGTGCCAATTGTCCGTAACTGGATAGCTCGTTTTTCTCAACAAAGAGAGGGCCGATGTCACGCCTAATTTTAGCAAATTGCCATTCTGCCCTCTTATTTTTTGCCTATTGTCGCTCGCTTCGCTTTCTGTTTCTGCACCGTTTCTCCTTACTCGATGTCCGTTTGCACCTCGTCATGACTGCAGCACAGATCTTCAATCCTTAAGAGTCACAAAAAGATCAATCCCAAAATTTTATAACACGTCGTCGTCACTGTGTTTAAAACGCTGCATTTTTTAGATGCTTTCTGAGCGATTGGCTGGTGGCGGTGGCTGAGAATCGATTCACTCGCACATACAGATACAATCATACGGTGACAAGGAAAACAAACACTCGGGCTTCACCCATACAGGCTGCGTGTACACCCAGAACCGCGCGACTGATACACAGCTGAATACTGTTGCACTATGTGAGGTTCTCTAGTGACGTCTTGCTCCGATCGTGACGTCGTGAGCTTGTTCCCGTGGATGCCGTCAGCGGCACGCGGGCATCAACGGGCATCGCGCAGAAGAGGCGATGACATTCAAGTGTCGGACTGACAATCCCTTAGTAAGAACCTTACAATCGACCAATCCGTACGTATATGTACGAATGAATATGTAGGACCAACGTGGACCACAATTGAATGTATTCGCCAAGCTGTCGTTCCTTTTGTTCGAAATGGAGATGAATTATCGTTGGTGATCTGATTTTTCATAACCTTCCTTTCGGCTGCCATGTTTGTAGGATGCGATACACAGTTTAAAGTTGAACAATGTGACGTTGAGGCGATACCTGATCGCAATCTCAAATGGCAGTGCTCGCCTTGTCGTTTGGTACGGATAACGCATTTCCACGTCGTAATCTTTAGCAGTGCAAAATTCAAGATTCGCAATCCTTACAAAGTTTATTCGATAGTACAATTCACTGGGACCGTGTGCACTATGGTTGTCCTACATAATATTAAGCTAGGCTATGTTTTGAGTGCATATTTCTTCATAAATCCGAATCTAACAGATTGGAATTCGTTCTCGCGTATCATCCAGGCAATTATCGCAGGAAGAGAAACGTCCTTTTATCGAGGAGGCCGACAGGTTACGCGTGCTTCATAAGAAGGAATACCCCGACTACAAGTATCAGCCGAGGCGACGCGTTCGCAAAGACGACGACGCCCCCGGTGGCAAAGGCAATAACGGAGGTGGTACAGAACAACAGCCTGCTTATCAATCCATACCAATCACCGCTTTTGTGCCCCCTGCGTCTCACAGAGAACCGGCGTATCACCCGACAGCCCAACAGCTGACTGGCGCTGGAGGCAATCTTGCAACGGGCGGACTCCCAGTGACCCTCACTACGAGTGGGCTTGGTAGTCTTGGAGGTGACGTAAAACTGTATGATTACGCCTCGTCAATGTCGACCCATTTCGCCTCCCCAAGCAGCAGCAGCTCGCCAGCGATGTGTCGAGAGGATAGCTCCGTGTCGCGATCACCTCCTACATCTCCACCGATCCCGCCAATCGTCACCGGCCCATTCGATTTCGCGTCGATGCCGGGCACAAACACTATCGGCAATAACAGTTCGACCACGTTGACGAACAGCGCCTCGTCCACCGGAGCTACTGGAACGGGCAACACAATTGGTGGCGGTGCCGTCAACCCTTCGAGTATGATTCCAGCGCCGTTCGCGACCACTGCCGGTTCTGGCCACCATCATCATGCGACACCGACGATCGCGAGCGAAACCACTGCCCTTCTCAATCCCGCTCATAGTCCGACTAGCCGACTAGTCGAGTCCGCTACGACTTCAGCAGCTGCTCCAGTTTACCCGTCGACAGCAGCCACAGCTGCCGCAGCAGCTGCCGCTGTCTACCCCATGTCGAACCACTGTCGCTCGATGACAGCCGAAGTGTTCAGCGCTTCAGTGATGTCGTCCGTTGAAAGTCATAGCCATCATAACCCATTCCTGCCACCGTACCAGACGAACACCAGCGCCGCCTATCCGGCAACTCCGCCCACGTATTATGGTGACTACTATTTGCCCGCCACGCCAACGGTGGGACCGGGGCTATCTGCGACGGATGCAGCAGCAGCAGCAGCAGCAGCTAGCGCCGGCGACTACATCAATCATTTTCCGTCAGTGTTTTGACGGAGACGCGTTGCAGCGAAATTTTAAAATGTGTATCACGAAGAGAGTCGAGTGTCAACACAATCAAAATAAACGATAATAACAACTATTATTATTACATACACACAAATTATATACCATCCCGCCCGTGACGATGATCTTACAATTACGATGTGAGTATATATAGACAGAATGATATAGTGAAAATGGCCAGATGTAGCCGTGAATTAGCCAATAGAAGTTATAGTTAAAAGAAATTGACTTTAGTGCATAGGTAACATTGTTGTGTGCAGATTGTAAACAGAAGCGCAGTAAAGATATTGTTCAGATGCGTTTGTTTAGCTAGAAAGAGTTCCGCGCGCAGTGCCGAAAAGGCCTCAGCCACTGAACGATTTCAACGTGTAAATATATGAAGGCTACGAAGTCGTGCTAATAAATGAGACGTTATGATAATAACGTTAATAGTAAAGCGAGAGAACCTGAAAAAAAGTACAGCTGATTGTATACATAATTCGTTCATTTCACGCGTCACCTTTTATAATACGTATTCCGTGACCGTAGTCCTAAAATGTCTATTTATGTCAAAGTAAAGCGGCGTTCGTATAAAGGTAAAAAGATGTTTTTATTGTGTTGTGCCGAATTCTTAGTCTAATTTTTGTAATACTTGAGATACATCTCGAGATGGCACGAGGGCTGTTTTTGTCTGACCCGCTTTCATGTAAGACACTACAAAATAAATGGATTAACATCGTTCTGACTTGCAGTATTTTTCAAAGAAGAAACTATGTCCTTAAATGATAATAACAGACGATGCTGTTCCTCTTGATCTTTGAGGTTATGAAGCATGTAAAAATACGAGAAACACAATACCAAGAAGTGACCGCTATAGTGGTACAACGCGGTTGGCTTCGGTGGAACGATACTGTAACGGCCGAAAGTCCTATGCGCCGATATCCTGCACTACGGAACGCTGGGGACCAATTTTGTGCATGCGATAGTGCAGTGTAACTGATATTCAGACAGTTAATACTGTTTCTTGCGTCACTATATGAGAAATTCACGAGAGAAATGGTCAATCTAATCGGCTTGTGTATACATCGAATGTACATAACTTCTAGTTACTATCGGATCTTAGTCTATACTCAATAAACCTTCAGAAGATATTTTAAGTATATCGTGTTTTTTTTTTGTTATAAGCTTGCCTCAGGGAGGTGGCAGTAAAGTGTTGATGTACAATATTTAGTCACGGCTTTCTGTGGATTACGGTCCATATGTTAGACACTGACGATAGACAAACTGTCTGGAGACGGGGCAAAAGCCTCATATGCTAAAACGTGTTCGAAAGATCAGGGCTAGCGCTGAGTTACCGCGGGTCGGAGCTGTTGACAGTATGCTCCATCAGCTCGCAGGCTTGAATAACGTAGATCTCACACTGAGATCGGCGTGGTAAAAACAGTTCTATCGCCTGACAACCTTGTAACCTTCCTTTTGCTACCAAACGAAATCTGCCTCAACCGATCGCGTTGTTGTCTTAGTTTGTGGTAAACCCCGCCTGTTCCTGCCTTCGATCTCACCTAAACGGTACGACTACCAGCGAACTACATGACTAGTAGTTTATATTGACAATTTCGAGTTGTTTACTAGAATTGACATCAGCTCGATAGAGAAACTTGTTTGTACGAACGAAACAACTAGCTCAAACTTCATCAAGTACAGAAGCTTTAGGACTCGATTTCCTGGAACGGTTCCTTTCTTTCTCACTGTTGGATTCACCACAAGGAAGCCCGGGAGGCGCTACACATTCAGAGCAGTGGGGCTTTGTCATACCTACGCGTGAAGGGTCACGTTGAAATTGGTCTGCGATTGTACACCAATAGAGATACAGCTGATTCAAATGCTGAAAAAGACAAAAGATGATTATAATAATGCATTATTATAATCGTGCTTTTCTTTTTTTTATTATTATTCTGCAAAGGTAGGCTTAAGCTTTTTTAAGAGCCAACAATGATTTACAACGATTCGGCCTTGACCAAACTAAAATATCACAGATTGATCTTTTATTTCCTAATTAGTTGTAACGTTGTTGTTGTTTAAAACTCGCGAGCTGCAGCTCTTGTTGGTCAAAATCACCACATGCGTTTATGAAGACCTCGTATTTCGATGTGTACTGTACCAGAAAGTCACAATCTTATTAGAGTCAAACCGAATAAATCCTCACGATCTTTAACGACCTACAAAGAGTAGACAGGTCCAACATTCGCGAACGGACCCCATTTAGAACATGTGGTCATGCCCGATTTGCTCGTTGTTTTATTTAGGATTATCCATAGTATTCTAATAATACCCAGTAGTCGCTCGTTGTACCTTCTCGTGGATATCTTTTTCTACTTCTTTCAGTATATATATATATATATATAAAAGTTCGCATCTCACTTGAACGAGAGCGTCGCTCATCATGTCACTCGAATGGATCGGGTGGTTAGAATAGCAGCGACGCTGTGAGCACAGAGCACTGCTCTACTGGGGGACCACATGCATTGATCGCCGCATCAAAAATTCTTAGCTTTACGAATCTTACGAGCCGTATGCTAAATGAACTTAGCTAAAAAGAGAAGCAATGAGGGCTTCGTGCGTAGCAAGCCTCCACACAGAACAAACTGCTATGTCCTTCCGAGTGTAAGACGGAGCAGATGAAAATTAACGCACCCGGAGAAAGAATAAAACGCGTAGACCCAACCAGGAGCTAGCTACAAGATAGACAAGCCGTTTTACCAAACTTTAACCACCATCTCAGCGGGGAAACAGTCAGTACAAGCCAAACCCATGTTTTCCTTCGACGAAACGTAGGTACGCCTATCGTCGAGGCTACGCAGGCCAAAGGAGGACAGTCGAGTAGGGGGGAAAAAAAAGATTTAGAAGTGGCAAAAAATAACTGGCACAATGAGTTGTTTATTCAAGTCTGGCTGTCAATGATACCTTTCACACTCCTTCCGTCTCTAGATAGATCAACACGGAAAGATATGACCGAAGGAAGAGACAAAATAGATCACCATTTGATTAGAGGTCGGTTTTTGCTCGTAGAATTTCATGAACACGTACACAACTTTCCACTGAAGAAAGTTCATCTGCTGTTTGTTGTCGACACGTTGGAGAATTCGCTTTGTTTACTTTGGTCGCGTTAATCTTCCTGGGTAAGGATCGGAAAGCTTTCAGATTGTCCTGTGAGCTTGCAAGTTAGACAGTCAATAGTATAACCCTGTTTTATCTTTGTGGCGGTAGAACTTGCTGACATTACAGCCTTTGGGTATTTTTATTCCGTGTACTAAAAAAAATGCACCCTTCGCTGTGCATGCGTAGACGCACCCTTCCCAACAACAAATGAGAATCGCTAAGTTAAATTATTATTGTTGTTTGTTGCACAATAATTAGGCCGACAGCTGGGAGTCAGTCATCAATAAACACAAGCAGTCTTGGTGCAAAAGCGTCTGCGATTAGGGATCATGACAATAGGTGACGTGCTAATCAAACTATAACGGTTTCTTGCATTTAAACAAATTTAATATATTTTATAATAATATAATAGTAATGATAATTAATAAAGTTGAAATCTCGAGTAACGAATGCGTTACCGGAAAACATTTACTGCCAGTTGCCTAAGCAAAGCATAGGATTTCGATGGTCGTTGTGGGTAGATAGGACCACGTAGCGTATTTCAATACTGAAATCCAGCTTTCCTGCTTTTGGTATAGTGACGCCTTACTTTATATCGACGCTACTGCCGGGTTCCATCGTGGACACGCGCTTTGCAGAAACTCGCAGACGCAGTGGCTAGTTAGCTTCCTTTTCTGTTCTTCGAACAAGTTCCCAAACAGGAGACACTTCATATCGGAAGCGGCCATTCGTCGAGATTTAGAATCGATGTTCCGGGATCATTTGCAAAAGCCACCGAGCATACATCGTCATATTGTCACAAAATTCCGGCTCGATCTCGACCGTCACCCTAGTGTCGTCTATATTGATTCTATAGGAAATACGATCAGGATTCTCATCTATTTCAGCAATAAGTGGACTCACTTTAACATTAGATTTAATGCTACACCTTAATTTCGGTCGATGTCATACCTTCTCAAGATATTGTTATCTAGAATAGTATTTGCAACTTCTAGCAGTTGTGCCTTGCCTTGACGGTAATGTTTTGCTGTTTCTACAATAAGACGTGGAGGTTACCGCATAAATACGGCGCTTACCACCCCGTTTGGTTGCATATTTGGTCCTTCTGTTTATAATAATTATTCCTAACTTAGTTCAGGCCAGACTGATGTAGGAGTTTAGCATTGCTGAATTAACAAGTACACGAATTGTTAATCTACTAGATAAGAACAAACAATATAACAGTTGTCTGCTTAAAAGCTAACGCCCAAAAAGGGTTCGTGCCAAAATACACGTTGTTGTATTTGGCAACAATATATGTTATAATCGCTAAGTTACGCAGATTTTAGAAATGGCCGGGATAGAAATAGAAGGGGTTGAGCGCCCCGATCGCTGACAACTTGAGCGCGCTTCTTTTTTCTGCATCAAAAATTTGAAACATTGCGATTCTGCGAGGGTCGTCTTGCAACGACATCATTCAATTTGGCCTGCTTTAGGCTTCAGTGAAATTGAATAAATCTTCCATCTACCTTAAGTAGAAGGTCCATTTAAGGGAATGCTTTTTGCTAAGGTAAAATAAGGTACTAGAGGGAAAAGAAAACTAACTTTGAGTAACTACGTAGTGCTGATCGATATGATGAAAAGATTGTTTAACAGTGGTTTTTGATAGCGTAACTGCAGCACTAGTCTACTCTAGCTTATCCTTCTACAATGTGCAATTAGAGGAGTTATAACAAGGCGAGATGAGTACATCTTAAACTTAGATTCTACATGGACTATTTGGAACGATGTGTCTGCATGTGTTAGACAATTGACGAGCGACTCCCCAAATCTTGTAACGATAAAAAATGAATTCCACAAGCAAAAGCCCGTTCTTGAATGGCTGTGTTTGATTTGTGAAGGATACCCATAGTAATCAAGTACAAGACCGCTAACGCCGTCCAAAGTGCACTGAAGCCGAAGGAAAAAGGAAACGGGAACTAGCCGATCGCATAGATAACTAATAACTGTTTTCGAATTCTGAAGCGGTTTCTGCAGACAGTCAAGTGCAGACATTAATTTAAGCGGACTTAAGGACGACAGGTAGGCTCATAACGTTGCGGTACTTTCGACAAAAATTGATACGAATCGATCAATTCTAAAAAAGTAATAACATTAATTGATACTAGATAGGCCGAACGTGAAAATTTAGTTAAAAATTAGGACAAAAATGAGATTAATGTAAACTCATTTTCCTGATTTTAATCTTACTGAGATGGCATAAGGGCACTGAATGTTTGCTGGATAGAATATAGATGAAAAACCCTTCCGTTCGACTAGAGGATACGCTTATCATTAGGAACATCATAATCATGTACCTTTAAATTATTGTTTAAAGTTCACAAATGGAGACACTATATGTTTTACACGTTCGAAAAAAGGTTCTAACTATCTTATTTCCAACTCAATGTACCCGAGCCCTATACTTTATAATTTTATGCTGCATTATTCAGTATGCTTAAGGCGTGATCATTAGGTCTATTCCTTACTTTTAATGGTTGCTTTAAATGATGGATATTGATTATCTTACATATTCAGGACTGGTTCCATAATGAAACCATTACATTAGCTTAGAAGTGTATTGGGAAGCTTTCACAACGAGGGTTTGCCACATAAGTCTCTAGTCACGGGGATCTCTCAAGTCATTCCCGACTATTCAGGTAAGTTTGGGTGGCGACAGATACAATCTCTTCAAATGTGGCCTTATTACAGGTAATAATACTGCGCCTGCTGTTTCTATGTTGAAGCGAAACATCATACTGATGCTCCTGCCGAATATGGAAGAATGGGCAAAAGCTACTAGAAGAGGAGACGTTACTAAGTAGCATTTGCAAGAATTCTTCGCTGTAAGAAGTGTATGGGGTTCTCGACACTGTGTGCGTTTCTCCAGAGGCCCTCAATCAGGGTTGTGGCGAACCCTAGACCATATCGGGAACAGCCAGCCTTTACTCGGCAAAATAGACCTAGAATTATTCGGAGTATTGAACTTGAGTATTGCATACGCAGATCGTTTTTGCTTGATAATGCCCGTCGTACCATAATAGATTAAGCAAGTCAGGATTCAGTTCCCATTCACCCTGCTATCAAGTCTAATAACATTACTCGATCTGACGACCTCAATTTGCACTTTTTGATCTTGCTGTACCTTGTGTGAACTTACTGTAACTATGTTTCTATCTAAACATATTAGCCCTCTTCGACGTTTACTCTTGAAGGTAATAAGCCCATTTCTCCAACAGGCCAGGTGGCCTGATAGATGGACACGATTAATACTGATGTGGCTGCTTCCTTATTCAGCCTCTATATTTTGAACAGTTGTTTTCAATTTTGCGCAGAACAAATTGATTTGCCGCCCATGCATTTCGAAGCCAACAATTGCTGAGACTTCAAAAGGTTGCAATAAAAGTGAAGAGCATAGCGAAGACCTGGGTAGCGGCTGATTGTTACGTGTAGGTCACGATTAGGTGAAACTTGGCGTCGTACGGTCGATCTAGTTCTAATAATCTAGGACGACCTTTGGGTACCTAACGCGCTCGTCAACTTCTAATGGCCTTAAAATTAAATTAAATCTTGCTAATGACACTATTCATGTTGCTGGACTCGTTTGCTGAGGTTAAGAATAAATACCTTAGAAATTTTCAGGTACTGACGCAAGAGGTCCTTACAAGTTATTGGCAAGACCCGAATTTCAGACAAACGTGAACTGGTCACAAAGAACTAAAATAATTATTGAGTGTTCACAGTAGGCAAATGAATGGAAAAAGTGATTGTGTTGAGCGTTGATCTGTTAATGCCATTTATGCAGCTTTTTCCTTCTACCAATTACTGAAATAGGTGGCAAATTGAAGACGGCCAATGTGTACGAACAGACCATAACTAGAAGGTTATCATTACGACTGCCCTCTAACAAATCCTTCTAATCGTTATACGAGGATAGCTCTCCAGTTATAACAATAAAAGATTTAACTATTCAGTAGCTTCGATTCCATAGAGAACGGGTCTATTCGTGCCCTATGTACTAGCGATTCCAAATATAGATCAACCTTAGGCCCCCTGTTGTTTTACAGCAAAAAAAAATTTGCCAATATAAATAAACAGTTCATGAGTGAAGTGTTCAACAGTGAGGTAAAATGCCGACGTAAGGCACAATCTGATGAAAATTGGCTAAAAAGATTAAGCTGAGAAATCACGCAACGTCTACTTCAATCGCTAACGAAGTTTTTTTTTCTTGCCAAACGAAAGCACATTTTCCTCATTTATTAATCCGCACTAAAGAGATACTGTGACTAGCTAACGCCGCTCAATATGTTACAGTACGTATTGATTAAATATACCAGTATATAGGAAAGAACAATTACATTACAACTATACTCATAATTTCACGGTACCAAAATATTAGTGTGGAACGATTTACCCACACTGGTAACATCGGTTAAACCATTCGTCATAAAATGAGTAATCTTTACACACACACACACACAAACACACACACACGTGTTTAGGGGAGAGAGAGAGAGGGGGGGGGGGGGTAGTAGAAACTGCGATCGAAGTGGGTCACTTATTATTAGTTGAATGGCATTAGACAGCCAACCCAGCAATATGAAAGTGAAGAAGTAATGGAAAGTGAAGTTGCTCGTTATAGTATTACCCAAGTTGTCTGAGGGCGAGCTGAAGTTGTGCGTGATATTAACTTCGCTGCTATATCACGTTGCCACGACGTTCTGTGATGCTGACCTTAAAGGCAACAACACGACGAACAAATGCTGCGAGACAAGAACCCATACTTTGACAAGGTCCACTCAACGTCTCCTACGCATGATTGACCCGGGTCTCAATTATAGCCAAACCGGGACTAAAATTGACTGACCGTATCATGTATTCGCATATATAAGCCCGGCTATGAAGTCGAATCAGAGAAGAGACCGAGGCTACACTTTCGCTAGCTCGATATTTAGTGCCATATCAAAGTGTGGACTGTGTTAAGGCAAGTGATGTTACCAGTGGTGCATGGCAAATGTCACGTCTATAGTCAGCTACAAAGACGAATCGATGAGATATACAGCTCTTACATAGATTATTTGTAAATGTTTTAAATCTGACTGTTCGCTTTGGACCTGACTAGTTCACCTATGTGAAAGTTGTAATGAATCACTTTGAAGATATACGAAGAGCTGGGTTACCGTGATAAGCCCGGTTATCGTTAGACCCATTTGCTCGAGAAAGAAGTCATCCTCAGCATAGTGTGCATATTCATGCGAGTTGCTCTCTCACGGGTCGTTGTTTATATTTAGGGGGTTTCCTGTACTTGGCGGCCTTGCTGCCATTGTGAAACGGCACAATATTAACCATTGTTTATGTTATTAATATAAACTGATTAAGATGTCGTTCTGCTTCATTATTTAGGTATTACAATATTAGTAGACATTCGGTTGCGTCTAGTGTCTATTGACTGATGCGCTGTTTATATCGAGTCAACTGTGCTACAATGCCATTCAGTGAAAACAACAGTCACGCGCTGCTGAAAAAATCATCTTCAACCCTCAACGGTTTCTTAAACTTCACCGTGCCATCTGCTCACGTTCAAAAGAACATGTCTATTGATGGAAGGGTGGAAATAATCTATTCGTTATTTTACAGATGGGGCGCTCGTATAAGAAATTATCGGCATGGCCTTTGCTAGTGGCGCTTGTTGCATCCTCTCAGCTTCGGGGTGTACGAACGCAAAGTCTTGCCGGATTCGAACCTCTGGGTGGTTTCGCTGGCGCCACGGGCACCATGGTCCTGCATAAGCGTCTATTTCTCGATGCAGATTGTCGGGGCCCATATGCCCCGCACTTCTACGGCTACCTAAACCGAATGCACAACATCTGTAAGGAGTGCGCCGATATGTACCCCGGCATGCGGGATTTCATTAGCCGCAATTGCACCTCAGAATGCTTCCGTAATCGCGTGTTCCAAGATTGCGTTTCGGCGACGATGCAACTCCATCAGCTCGATGAGATCTCCAATATGATCGGTCAGCTGTCCGGCAGAAGGAAATAATGGCATCTTGAGAAAACTTCTTGGGAACTCAGCCCGGATTTCGATCGAAGATGAATTGAAAGGCTGAATCTGTGAAGGACGATGAAGACACTCTATTTGATCTCCCAGTAAATAAGTGTCGAGTAATGCTAATGAATGAATAAATAAAGTGTCAACATAACGTTCCCAAGCGAACACAACCTATGGCATCATTGAATGAGATTGTTAGTTGCGTAAAGATGCGTCATATTAAAACTTCTAAAAGTAAGCTAGAAGTAGCGTGAAGTCAATTTTTAGACAGTGTTCGAGGCTTATTCTATACGAATTCAGCACATTGTTTTTCAGCATTCCCAGCCGAATTGTCCTGATACGATGATATAAGGCATCAATTCAATAAAAATAAAGCAGATATTAGTTATATGACAGCATACGGTCGTGATTGGTCATTGTACTTAATGTAGCAGCGTTTGACATTTGCCAATATTTGAAAGCCTTAGAAAGATCTGGGGTAAACCAAGACCATGGAGCTAATTTTGATTTAACATTAATTTATATAGGCGAAGTAACGTTTATCGCCAGAGTGCGGTCACTGCTGAGCGCATAGCTTCAAACATTAGGGACCCAAATAGAGATGAGGTAATATAATTGTTACACATTGTTAAATATGTGCCAGAACTCACAGAACGCCCATCATTACTATTGTTTGAGGCAAACAAGTTTCACGATTTATAATATGGCGCCGTGAATTATTCGGGCAGCTAAATCGTAACTAAACCTTGCGTAACTTCACAGCCATCGCTGGAGATCGTGCGTTCTTTTTGGTCAGATATCATATCAGACCATTCAGGATCGTTGCATCAAAGCAAATAGAAGATTAAGTATAAAGTTACTTTGCGTCAATAAGGAGAGGATGATTTCAGCGCGGATCATTAGCGCAACTTTAGTTGAATAAGTTGTGTCGGCGATAGGTGAAACGGTAGCAAAGCTGGTATCGTACGCCAGGTCTTACATGAGGAGCGTGCTAGAACCTGAACGTTCGAACAAAACATGGTCAATTTCACGTAGAAAATCGTTCTTCATTGGGAAAGGAATGAAGCAAAAACGATTGAGAAGACATACATTTCGAGGTTCTATAATGGCAACGGTCAGCGTAGGCACTTTTGCAGCCGACGAAACGCAAAATGCAAAAATTGTAGGTCGCTTCAAGTTAAGCGTCAGATCGAGAAGAGAAAATGTTTCAAATAAACTCCAGCGTAAGAGTTTTTTTTTTTTTTTTTCATATGACATATATCGATGCTTTACTGAACCGTCGACCGGTCTCGCTTGACGACTCACACGGTATCGCGTAATGACCAGTATGAGTTCGGCAAATACACACAAGATCGTGTTCATTAGGTTAAGCAGTTTCATAACACAGAGGATGTCTTAGGTGCGCACACTGCAAAGGCTTATATTGTTAGAAAATCCACTGTGGTAGAAGACAAAATCCACCTATCAAATGCCTTCTTTCACCCCAAAACTATTTCTACGATCAGGACACTATTCTGTCCTGAACTATTCCGGATAATCAAAAAAAAAAAGACCTTTCAGTCTAGGCACGGCGTTTTCTGTCCTACGTGTATAATGTGCATGGTAAACGACGCGCCCGAACACTGGACTACAAGCAATCGTTCAACTATTCGCTACGATAGAGACTTTCATTAATTGAATTACTACTTTTCTCGAGCGCAGATTCCTTTTCCCGCTAGAAGGAGGATGCTCCTGCAAGACTTTATTGCATCAGGCAGACGCATCTATCGGGGTATTATATATATATATATAATCGGGGTACTATTGCTCGGTCGTGAGAAATGCGCATACGTGCTTCTAATTGTCCCAGCGATTGGTTATCTGTTACTATAAAACAAATTTATCCTAGCAATTGATGGCTGATTGAAGTTTTGAATCAACGGCAAGATCTTCTTCACGTTATTTAACATTATATTCACATATAATAAAAAAGTAATACAATATAATGTTTTATAACTGCAACATTGCAGGAATATCTTTGTATTTCCATAGATTTTAGCTCGTTCTGCGTTCGATCTATATGATCGAAATGATATGGCCCTATAGCTAGCTCATTGTGGGGAAATGGACCGGAGGCACGTATAACCAGCATCGCTTATTGTATTCTATCTATTCCTGTATAAGCTCGTTAGGTTTTTCTTTAGCATCAGACAAGTATCTATGATTATTAAGAAGTAAGTAAGTATAACAACGCCGTATCCGATAGTGATGTTTATATATTAGGAGGCAATATTCTAGAAAATATATCAAACGCTGGATGGCTGTACGTTCGGGCCTTAGCTGGCAGCCAATTGAACTTGTAACCTAAGTTCGTGTTGCCAGATGGGCAGCGGGCCGGTGAAGGTTGCGCGAACTTCTTTTTGACACGTTAATTCAGTCAAATCAAACTTCGCATTGTGTACGGCTACGAAGTTACTAGCGTTGTAAGTTTGTCGCCGATTTAAATTGTATTGGAGTACTTGTCTTGTACAGGATCGCATATTGTTCATTACAACTTCGAGGTACAAGCGACTTTCACTTTGTTGGTTGATCGACAGTTTTTTTTTTTTATAGCTTTAGACATTTAAAGGCAGGTTCTTGTAAAATTTCATTGCATTTCGTAGCACGAATGTTTACAATCGAATAGCCATACATAGTATACACTATGAAGCATACCATTTATTATTATCTTGCCTCTGCGTCGACCTCTCGTTGCTGTGGTTGGCCGCCTAGAATTGCATCCAAGATACGTCCAAATATCGAACATGGACATTGATAACAGATGGACGTAAGCTCCTGATATAAGGGAATAAGGGAGTAGCTAGGACGATGGTGAAGGCTCTGTGATACAACTGAGGTTTGAGCCTCTCAGTATAATAGCCTCGAGAAGCCAGTGCCCAACCTGACGTTCAAAACAAGTCACTCTGCTAGCGAGCATGTTACTATTATGTATTGTTAAACAACAATGGCATTGCCTTGACCTTAATCCATGTTCCGGAAATCATATTTACAGGAACCGTCCACAGGGTCCGATATGGCCTTTGGATCTATCTCGAATATGTTTAGTCTGGCTAATCAAAAAAGCACGGAGCGGTTCTCCGATATGGAGCGATATTTTGTCGTTGTCCATGGAAGTTTGTATACCCGTGCATGGCCGTCTCTAGAGAAGAATACTCAACGTGTGTTTTCGTCTGGGTGGATCCTGGGCGAGAATTTTTCATTGCTTGAATAAACACAATCGCACTAGATTTTGAAGCTCTAAGATAAATTAGTTTGTTTTTATATAGTGCCGCAGTCTACGGTACTTATATTCTGGGAACTTTCGGCAATGGGCTGGGTTTAGCTTAAGTTGTCGATGTATCTGCTTATCGTACGTAATATTATATAAAATAAACAGACGTCAAAGGTGAGCCAACGATTGTCGAAACAACGGAACATAACGTTGAAAAATATATGTTCGGTGGAAACACCTTTTTATGTACATCAGTCGAGTATCTTCAGTAATCCAACGGCGCGCAAATAACCACGTGACCGTCCAGTTGAATAATAAAATAGACGAGTATAGTTTTAGACTTCTTTTGGAGGTCAGTAACATTCGACTAGTTATTAGGAAACATACTGTTACGCCTAACTTTAACGTGATGAGACAGAGACTCTATGCATCTACTGCATTCGTTACACGATAAAAACGGCTTTGTGGCCGCAGAAAATCGCTAAGGCCAGGACGCTGACCCTTATTGGTCTGAGTAATAAACAATGCGTTTCGGCCTCCACAGTTGCTCCAGTAACAATTCGGTCCTTGATTCGGTTTCTTAAACCATAATACCTTCAACAATAAGTTCATAAGTAAGGAAAATTGGATCCGAACTTATTCGCTTGATTGCGGAATAATGTACCATTTTTTTATATTCGTAGACGCAAAAAGGTGTATTATTTAAGAAAATACCTTATATAAGGGAACGAGAATATATATAATGGTATGCATAATATCAGCTTATGCTAATGTGGAATTAGTATCCATCTGGAAGCTGGGTCTGATATGGTATCAAGTTTATCTTTTTCTTTAGAGCTTCTATCATAGACAAGGTATACCTGAAAGTTAAATATGACGACCTCTAGCAGCAGACTCACAACAGAAGAATGCAGTGGAATCTGCTCATATAAATATTGGCAGCACACACACACACACACACACAATGTTAAGCCCTAGTTGTTTCCTGTTGGCGGTATATCAGTCGTGCTAGCTACTGAATTTAGTAGCCTGTCGTCGTGATGATGGCTTGCTTATCTATGCAGGCTGACAGCGCCCAAGACGTACACTCCGTTCTACGAAAATACATGAAAATTCTAACAAAATGTTAACAGATGTATCGAATTTTGCCGTTCTGTGAATAAACAAAAAAAAAACAAACATTCTCACAGATATTATAAGTAATGTCCGCATGGATCGCATCGTTGGTTTAGACCATGTAGCACAACTGGTTTAGGAAGTCCTAATGACTGCGGGAACTCGAGCATGTCCATTGTCTTTAAGTTAAGCAGAACTTAGACCGGTGCGTTCGCAAAGTGATGGTTGAGATCGAGATCGCGGTCCTTCAAAGCTGTATCTTTTACATGAAAGGTTGCCGGTACTGAATGAATCAATATGGCGCAAAGCCTTAGGTTTGGTAGGAATGAATGGGATTATGCACAAACGATCATGTGCAGCCTACGTAATGCAGGATGGTACCAGGTCTAATGCTGTATTGCAAGACGTGTAACCTATGAGTTCTGGGCGTCGGAAGCAACGTTAAAATTTCGTGGAAATCCATCTACTGTAGAAGTGTTAATCTAATCGATAGTGAGGAACGTAAACAAGCGTGCTACGTAGACGCCTACGGTTGTTCATTATTCTAGAAAACTGGAAACATTCAAACTCAAAAATCTATCAAAGATCAAAAAAGCGCTCCACTTTGATTTGTTGGGTAAACCAGGCGTCTTCCGATCAAAGCTCGTAGACATTTTGCAAAGAAAGGAATACATTTTGAAAGTTAACCGGGGGTCAAATCGGATGCATACAATAGATTGAAAAGAAATTGCTTGCCAAGCAATTTCTTTTCAATTAAAACTGTTTATATTTATTGTTTTCTCTGAGGTATCTATCAAAGCACCGAAACACCTAATCATCTAAATACAACTTTTACGTATATTTCTTATATGTGGCGTAACCTATTGTGCGTTTTAGCCGATAACGGTCAGGGCTATACCCTTTGATCCACGTGGAAATTTATTTTTAAACCTATTTTCCTTATAGGGCATGCTGTAAACTAGTAATAAGCTACCATACTTCATCTCGCTGATTTTCGTATTACACCT